CAGACTCACCTCGGCCTCCCCTCCAGCCTGCTGCCAGATGGTGGAGGTTCTGCTCGCCGTCCTGATCCTGGTCTGCAGCTCCGTGTCCTGTGGCTCGGCGGGAGGATACACCGGCCTCCCCGCCCTGGGGGGCATCTACTACTACCAGTACGGCGGGGCCTACAGCGGCTTCGGCGGAGCGGAGGGGGAGCGAGCCCAGCAGCTTGACCAACGTTTCTACCTACTGAAGCTGCCCATTGCAAGGGCAGCGATGGTCGTGGGAGGGTGTCTCCTGGTCTTCCCTTGTGTTCTGATTTTGGTTAGTGTTCTGCAGGTCCCGTGGCACTTCCCAGCATGGCTGCTGATTGAATGCACCTTGTACATAGTGATTGCAGTTAGTACTGTGCCTGCTCTGTACTATTTCCTCCATTCTCTGCTGAGCGTTTATAATTCATCAGTGTGCAAAGAGAGAGAGCAGCTTTATCAGAGCAAAGGCTATCAGGGCTTCTGGTGCAGCCTGCATGGGGCAGAGATTGCTGCTGGCCTATTGGGCTGCATGGCTGCCATGGCATACCTGCTCAGTGCAGGCCTAGCTGTCAGAGATTACAGGACAGTTCATGAACAGAAACAGAAGCCACTGCAATTATAAGAACCTTCAAATGATTCTTCCACTCCAGTAATAGTCTTGATTTTTGCCAGTCTTACTGAGATGAAGCAGTATGCTTTCCTTTCTTCTGGACAGCACAGCCTTAATGCTACAGAACACTCACCAAGCTAGCATAGCTCTAAATATGGTAGAGTCAGGTTACCCGTAACTTGAATTTGCATTATTGAGTTATTAGTGGCTCAAAGCTGATGCAGTGGATTGTCCCGGCCTCATAGGCAGCCCTTCCATCCCACTCTCAGGTGCCCTCTTCTCCAGTGAGGCCTTGCCACAAGTACTGCCACTACATGCTTTTGCCAATGAACAGCTTTTTGTAGCTGAAACTGTCTACAAAAGGCATGTGACTCTGCTGAGAAAAGAGCTCTTAAGAACAAGTGACTGAGGCCCATGGTTGTAACAATTAATTATTGCTTCCTTGTAGGTCTCTTGGAATTAACAGACCACTGTGAACATGACATTTACAAAGCCATGAAAATATCCTGAAAAAACCTCTCAAACTCAGTCAAACTTGTGATAAAATGCCTTTTCAAACTCCTGGAGAGGGTGCATTTATGTATGAAATGGTCTTTTTATATGACTTGTATACAAGAGTTTTGCTTAAAAAGATGTCCTGGATTGGGATAATCAGACAAAAGCTTTATGAGACCAAATGGGTGATTGAATATAGAAGTATATTATTTTCAAAATACATTTTCAGTGTACAAGTTGGAGAAATGAGACGCTGCTCCTAATTTTTTTTTTAGAAAAACTTATAGGAAATTTAACTGGGAAAAGTAGCACTAGAATCACCAACTCATGTCTTAAAATAAAATGCCACTTCAGAGCAGTGTCCACTGTGTGCATTGTTCATATGAGGATGGAACCACTGTAGTTTCACAGATGAGTTCTGCCCATATTAAAAAAAAACTAAACATACTAGAAACATGCTTTGCCTTGTATGTAGCTCTTCTTTCACTGGCACCAGTGACCAAATCCTCACAATTACCAAAACCATGGAACACTATTGAACTAGAGACACTAAAGTAAAACAGATGCTAAGTAGGAACACACTAGCTGCTTTGGGGTTTGCTTGATTTAGTTTGGTTTTAGTTCAGGGTTTTTTTGCTTTTTAACATCAAGGGTCTCAGCACAGGGATTTACGTGGACAGTCCATTGTTGTCCTGTTTCTGTTAACATTTCTGTATTTCCTCTTGTTGCAGCTACTTCTAGAGCTGTACAGTGCTATTGAGAGCAAGTTCACAGGGCAGCATTCCTCTAGCAGGAAACAAAGCTGCCTTAATAATTGGTAAGCCTAATTCTACCCTCACAGTGTTCTGAAAGAAGTTTTTGTATGGAAGGCTGATGAGTGAAATAGCACACAGAGCTCAGTGAATAACCTACACCACAGCTGCTGCTAGACACAGCTACCTTTGACTGGGATATTGCAGAGATTTTTTCCAGCACAGTAACAGAATCAGAATAAGCTGTTAGATGAAAGTAAAAATCTTTATTGCTAAGTCAGCTGAAAATTCAATGCAAAAATACTCTTCCTCCCTGTACCTCTCTATACATCTCAATGGACTAGTGTTTTCCAACAATCTTAAGTTATTTGCCTTTCCAAAGCAATACACAGGCCACAGTGCTGAGGGCACATTCATTAGACAACCTACTCCCACACACAATAAAAACAGGGATCCTTATAGGTGCATGCTAGAGTGGGATACAGAAAATACTCTCCTTTTTAAAAACAAAAAAAAAAACATGAAAAAGGATTATTTAGTAAACAGTTGGTACACTGCAATATTTAACATGCGCCAGATCATATGAATCATTTAAAAAAGGTAACATTTTAAACTGTGAAAAAAGAGGAAAAGTACAGTTGAGTCTTTAGAGAGCAATAGAACAGCAGACAATAATTGCACAAGACCAAAGAGGAGATCTGCCTGAAGAAAGGCCTTTGGCAAGTGAAACAAAAGCCACCAGCATCTATCTGGAAGGAGTGCAGAAACCCCACAGGTCCAAAGCCTTATGTGTGACTGAAGGTCCTGTGTACTACAGGAAAGATTTCAGACTTCACAGCAGCTTGTCCCTGAGAGAGGGGAATACTTCCTTCTTCTTGGAACAGGATGTTATCCTCCCATCTAACTGAAGATTCCTGTCTGGTATGAACAGTCTGTGATGCTGCCTCCACTGGGGCCTGTTCCTTGCTCTAGGGGCAACTTGGGGGTTATCTCTTACCTTTAACACCTGAGCCCCCGTTACCCACCACTCAATATAACCTTTATGGGTTCCTTTTACAGAAACCTTTATGGACAGGACAGAGCAGTGCCTTCAGAGTACCCTTCTCAGCAAGTATGCTTATCAGCAGAGCCAGAATTACTGAAGAGATGGACCAGCAACGTCCTTGGCTGTGGCTGCATGCAGTGTGGGAGGGCTTGCATTGCTCAGCAGGGACAAAACAGCCTGAGGACCTCAAGGTGAGAATCCCTCTCTAACAGCAAGTCTGCAAATGAGTGGGACATTCACAGTGATGTGGTTATGTGATGATGACATAGTATCTCTGCAAACTCCAAAAACAAAAATCAGGGAAGTGACTGGAGAACAGAAAGATAACTGGGAAGACACTTTCTATACCCTGCTATGAGTCCTTCAGTAAACTCGCCCTTTCATACCTGTTCCACATACAGCAGTGCTCCTTGGGAGCTTGAAATCTAAGGTAGTGTTAATAAATAAAGTAGGGGTGACACACAGGGAGGAAGGAAAACAAAAGGTAGTGGAGGGAAGCACTCTGTTCTGAGAGTTGTGCTCACCAGACAGATGAAGACAAACCAGCCACTGTCTGACCAATGTCAGAAAAAAACCCTTTTCTTTGGATGACAGTGACCTTGAAGCATGTCTCAGCAGTAGGAATCTTGTGTTAGAAAATCCAAGACATTTGTGTGAAAAAAATTATGCCAGTGTGTTTGCTGACACCCAAAACTGGCCTAGGAAAAAGCCGTACTTTTTGTCATGAACAGGCACTATTTTTAATGCATGAAAAAAATTTTGGATGACTGGAGAAAAAGCATCACAATGCTGTGGCAGAAATGGAAAAGCTTAATCCTTGGAAGAAGCACATGGAAAATACGCAAAAGCTGCTTGAGGACACCAGCACTTGTCTTAGTCAAATAGAGAAAGACTATTTGGAACAGGTAAAGTCAACTCAGCCTGCGCTGCCTGGAGTCCTTAATACCAGCTTCACAGAAATCTGTGGATTCTGCCTGGAATGTAAGAAAGATAACAAGCCATGTCTTCCATGACAGTTCACACCCATAGAAAATAGGAGCTGGCTGTAATTAAACTCCCTTTCTGCTTCAAAACCAGAGACAGCACTGAAGAAAAAGTTCAAGTAGGAATTCCTTCTGTTCCATTCTTCCACTACCTCTAAGAGGTGCAGTTCAGGAATCTGCGTGCTCTATTGCAGACAGATGTGTTTTCCTTATTCCTTCAACACTGAGCTAGGTAGAGCCATTCATTACTAACTCCTTGTGGCAATTCTGCATGCAATACTACTGATTCAGACTGGCAAGGACACACTGGACTTTCCATATCAGTGCAAGAAATGGAGAACTGATTTTCATTCATACATGCTGCTCAGCGTGCAGGGCTTTTCAGAGTCTTACTCGGAAATAAGGGTTTCTGCATCAGTCTCATACTGAATGGAGGCTGTTCTACAGCCCTTTCAGGTATCAGAAACTGTGAGGCTAGGCACAGATATTTGGTAAAATTATCACCAGTGACAATCAAAAGTTGCAGTTGAAAACATTTGGGATGAACTTCTCCTGCATACTTATATGATGATAACATGAAAGAGTTTTGGTGTTTAGCATCTGAATCTTTTCTGCTGCTTTTCCTCTGCCTAAAGGATTCAAATACTGTTGTTCCTGTGATTTTAAGAATTAGCTTCAACCTCCAGTTCCAAATGAAATAGGCATTTAAACAACCAAAATTGTGAGAGTTTAAACTTTGCAAAAATTTGGGTTCTTTCATGATTACACTGCAGCTAGCACAGAGTATATCCTAAAATGTTCCTCCTCATGCATGATAGAAATACCTTTTCTTCCTAGTGATAAGAAATTCAAGGTGCTCTGAAATCTCAGTAAAACTCCATTAGATTTTGTGAAAAGATCTATATTGACAGAATTCCACAAATAGTCTGCACAGTATTTCCTTCTGAGCAAGGCCCAAATTTGATCCAAAAATAGACAACTCAAGCCTTACAAATCTCTTCAGAAGAAATGTTTAAGTTTTCTTCATAAATATATAATTAATGAAGAAAAGGCACTAGCCCACATCACAGTAAGGATTATTGCACCACCACTGACATGACAAGGACACCTGCTATCCAGCTCTGTCAGAAAGGAAGACAAATCTGCATGCTACAGAGGCAGTGCTCTCCACAACTCTTACACAAGATGACGACAGGAGCAGCCAACATACACCTTGTACCAAAAATCCTAACGGAAACACAAGGCCTCTGAGTGCAGACTAGCCAGTTCATCATTAGTGGGACTGTTTTAAACATCTTTTTCAGTGCTGATAAAAATGTTAATAAGATGAAAAGTTTAATTTTTGCTTTTGTGCTGAAGGCTAAGCAGGAACAAGTTTCACCTTGTTTGTGGCCAAATTGGGCACGTACCATGAAATGCTGGTTGCTGTGTATTTGGAATATGATTCCTGCTTCCAGAGGCAAGCAAAGACACTGCAACTGACAATGCACAGGTTTATGCTGATGGAAAACAGCACTGGATGCTTCTGCCAGTCTTAGAGCAGCACACCACTGTTCACAGCTTGGCTCTTCTGGCTGAGCACTGAGACAAGCACAAGCTCCTGGCTTTATCCCATGTCTTCTGTAGAGGAAGCCTCTGCTGTGAAGCATCCATGATGAAGGTGGCCAGGCTGCTGCTGAGGTGGGTCTGTGCTCTGCAGCTAGAACCACTAGATCTACATGTTGCCTTAATCAACCAGTCCTGAGCTGATCTTTCCTGTGCTCCATATAAAATGAATTGTTTGGCACCTGCTTATCACTCAGCTATGTATTTTCTCATCCTGCACAGAATGATCCCACCATAACCTTCACTCTCCCCTACACCAGTGCTCATCAGAACACTGGTACCCTGAGTCCTCCACTGTCCTAAGAACATCCATTGGGAAAAGTTCACAGCATACCTGCTGCAGAGTCCTTTCTCCCCTAACCCTAAATAATAAAGTGCTGGGCTGAAAGGGAAAAGAACAGTTTAAGTGCAATAAATAAAAGTGCTTGCAATTAATGTAGGAAACCATTCTCAGGTCAGCTTCATTGCAACTGTCTGTATTCTTTCAAGGAATAACAAAGTCAGATGCTGGGGGGGAGGGTGGGACACTGCATCAGAAATATTCACAGGACTCTAAACACTGAGCATTTCTCCCTCAGCAGCCTCCTCACCCCCCCACACACACACCAGCCCCTTTCTGGCAGAGCTGGCAGAACCTCAGGGTTCAAGGACTTACCAGACAGTCCCTAACACAGAGCTCAGCTGCTGATCTGTGTGCTCACAGAACAGCTGAGATGCTACAGTGGTTGAGTGGGCAGCCCAGACGTTGGCCTTCCTGATTCTTCCTCAACTCCATTAAGGAAGCAGCAGGTGTCTGTACTCCTTGCAGATCCCAGCTCCCTCAGAGGGCATGACAGCCCTTATTAAACAGAGCTTTCTGGGACAGATAATGTGGGAATAGTACTCATAGGGTTACAAAGCTGTGTCAAACTCCTCTGGCAGGGATGCTGCATGTTCTTCTTTCAGCTCCTGATCTCCTCTATCCTCCTGGTGCTGCTTCATTTGTTCCTTCACTTCCTCTTCCAGATCATGTGGCACCACAAATTGATCTTCTGGCTCCATCTGGGATGGAGCAGCAAAATAGCCTGTCTTCTTCTTGGGTGCCTCTGTCGCTACTTCGATGAGGTTGAGGCTCTCCTCCAAGGGCACTATGGAGCCATTGGAAAGCTTCTTTCCATAAAGACAACATGTGGAAAGAGATTTTTGGAGGTCACACTTCTCCTTAACCCCTCTCTGCACAGTGTTGCTGTTTACACTGTTCTGCCTGCGAATGATGAGTACAAGCCCAGAGTCATCCTCTGGCCCTGGAGTAGAAGAGCTGTACTCTGCAGCAGGATGTTCTAATTCCAGACCCTTTCCTTTACAGCAATGGATGTCCACCTCTACCTCCACTTTACTGCCATTTGTCATCACACCTTCCACAGGCTGCTCATCATCACTATCTAGACCATTGTCAGACTGGTTGCTAGAGAAGGTGGCACTGGAAGGTTGGCGCTGAAAGATGCTTGAGGGGGGCACAGGATGTAGGCTGCAACGTCGTTCTTGTCGTGGTAGCAAGCTGCCATCAAGACCAACAGCACTGTGTTCATCTGATGCAGTAGAGCCCACCTCACTGCTCACCTCAGAAGCAGACAGTTCACTGCTGAACTCTGAAGCAATTCCACTGCTACATGAAGGTGTTGCTGGTTTGGTGGTGGTAGAACTAAATCCCCCAGGGCCTGTCAGAGTGAGGCCGTGCATCTCACACGTGCAGTTGTCCTCACTGATGTTCAGACATACCACCATTGCACCAACATTGTCTTGGCAACCATAGCTTTGTGCTAAAGTGCAGAGTTTCTTTGCAGCAGCTAGTGGGTCGTGTAGGTGCCGCACAGCTGAGACAGCTTCTGCATAAGAAAGGTGTTCCC